CAGGTAAACGAATAGGAATTTAGGAAAGGGTTTAGTGATTATGAACTACAGTTTCATACTACAGTGCAACCTCGATATAACAAATCGGAGGGGAACAAGAAAATATTCGTAATATCAAGTAATTCGTTGAACTGAGGTTTGTTATGTTGAGGTTAGGTTGGTCTAAAATTCGTTATAAAGAGGTAAAAGAATAGTGCATGATTTTAATCTTTTACTGTTTACATTCAAACCACTTTCTTCTGAAAACTTATCTTTAAATTTTAAAATTGTAGCCAATGTACTTGCGGGAATCCCGCACTTATTAGCTATGTCAAATTTTTTCGTCACAGGATTTTGGTCAACATAATTAATGATGTTTCGCTTTTCTGCGACTGAGCCATTTTAACTTAAATCTTTAACAATAGTGACGAGCAGAAGTGTTTACATTACTTTCCATTAAACATCAAAAAACAAAAAAATACTTTACGAACAAAAGCGTATCGAAACATGTCGAGACATAAATCACATTATAAGATTAAAGATAAGATTAAGAGTTATATTATTGGTGGGAACTTTATATAAAGGTTTTGGGTTGACAAAATTCGTTAATTAGAGGTATGAATACTTTTTCTTGATAGTTGAAAATTCGTTATAAAGAGGTTGTTCGCAAAGAATGTTCGCAATGTAAATGTATATTTTATATTGACTCTTATGGACAATTCAAGGGGATTACGAAGAATTTGTTAAATCGAGGAAGTCGTTATATTGAGGTACGTTATATTAAGGTTGCACTGTATTATTATTAAAGCTAGTAATTTGTAAAAAGAATGTTCAGGATGAGTGAATATAGGTACATCAAATAGATGTAGGGAATGGACCTATTAAACAAATGAAATCGTATGTTCTTGAGTATCTTAAATGTCGTATCACTATGACCTTTATGATCGTTAACAGGATTTCTTTATTTTATAAAAGTAGGCCTTGTACCTATTTAATAACTTTTTATTATTCTCACTCTGTGGCATCAAGACTCGAGGTCATTTATGGAAGAGTGTACCTATAGGGATAAGGGAGGGACGTTTGGCGTTACTGAGTGGAATGGTACTCGCGCCCGCGACCTTGTGAGGGCGAGGTCACACCACCCGCGTCGCCCCGCTATTCTCCCGCACCCGTCACCAACTACCTGCGCCTCGCGGACGTCACTCGGAACTCTCATGCCTACATAGCATAAATACAGATATAAGTATAGCCAATCCAATCTAGTAATTTTAATTTTGGGACATAACACGACTTTAAGAAAATTTTATAATACTGCTCACAGTTAACATGTATTGTTGTTACTTCAACTAGATGTATGAGCTACTCCAACTCTTCTGCGGGTACAATCAACGCAGGCAGGATCACCATTCCATTCTCGTTCTCAGAAAAAATATACCTACCTATTAATAGGAATACGCAGGGCCGGATTAACCATTAGGCAGAGTAGGTACTTACCTACTACCGATGGTTGGGGGTTCGATTCCTCGTACGTTACAAACATTTGTATTCAAAAACAGAATTGTTTGTATTTGTCTGTACATTAGATTAATAGATTGATAATATAATTGTGCAAGTCCATACTTATTAGACTTAGACTTAACAATACTCTTTTCAAGAATTTTTTTAGAACATTTGTGGCCCTAAGCCACGAAATAATCTCTCTGAGAATAAGTCTAATAAACACAATGTTTTCTCAGCTCAGAAAATTATAGATATATCTTCGGAATACATTTTATAGCTACTAACAGCTACTTTGTAACAATAGTATTTTATATAAACTGTTATAACATTATCTGTTATAAGGCCTGTTTTTTATAAATTGCGATAATAATATAATTTCATGTCTTGGCTATAAATTATTTTATTATACATATATATAACAAATTGTATCACATAAAAAATTTTTCACTGCATGTAAATAGGTCTTTATATATAAGGCAGTTCATTAGCTCTTACAGTACGTAACAAAGCATATTGTGACAGAAGCGGCAACATCAGCTAAAAGCCCAAATAACCCAAAACGCATTCATTGCATTTATTAAAGATATTTTATGTATGAAAAATTTATACTAAATGGTATTTAGGGCCACAAAATTCCATCATTATCGTAATGAAAAGTGGCGTATTAAAGCCATATTCGTCAGGTAGGAGTTGGTGATCAGCCGCACTATAAATCCATCCGCGGGTTTGTACACATTCCCATTTTCGTTTGGTGAAGCTGTAAAGGCCATCTGCTGCTAATAACGTTAAAATAGTTCGAAAATATAATATAATTATGAATGAGATACCTATTTTAATTTATATTTAATTTGCGACCAGTCCCGTCTTCACTCGTATAAAAGGTACTGTTGTGTATTTATTTTCACTTTTCACTCAATTTCCACCCTAATTCTTGCGGAAAGTAATTCAGTTTCATGAGCATTCTACCTGGTTTTTGGTTAAGCTTACAAATGTCCATCTGGAATAATGTATGTACAAGTATTGTTGTTCTTGATAATACATTCCTACACATAAATTACCGTACCCATAGCCAAAAAAGAAGTGATGAAAGCCTCTCGTATACGGAATATTGAAATAGAAGGACTGTACTATAGACATATAGAAAAATCATTTTATTAAGTACGATTTGTTTGATGCGATGGGTAGGTAGTAGCAGGCTATTGGTCGGGTGGGCTGGAGTCGAGCGATGACGGCGGTCCGCGGCCTTGGCCGTGATCATGCGCTCGATATAGCCCGGCCACCGCCACCACCCGCCGCCTACCTCCTACTAAATATCTCCCGGTCTCCCCACACCACACCTTTCTCTTCCTTCAGAATTTCTGATGTTCACCGGATAATTCTAGAGCCGTTTTTAAGACTATTAAGTAACAGGCCTCATTACCTACATACAGTATATCCATGTTAACCCACAAAAGTAAAATGAATGAGAATAGAATAGATTTGGATGCGCATGCTGAAGTCTTCCAACAAAACAACGTAAGATGTATTCATTATTCATTCTATCTTTATATTAAAAGTTCAGACTCTCATAATTTTCTATATTACCCAATTACTTTTAAATTACAATATATCGGAACATAAAATTAATAAAAGCAATATGTAATATTATCTCTTTATTGGCCTTTGCAACTAGGTAGGTACAAAAGAGTCCAATTGTTTTATTTTCTTTGTAACAGAGGCATTATATGGCAAGTACTTAATGACTAATAATACTGTTTATGTCAGTACTACACATAATTAGTTATTATTAACACAAAAGACTGTAGAAAAATGTATAATATAATTTAGTAGGCTGACTGCGTAGTTAGAGCGAATCAGAATTAGATACCAAGGCCAAAAGACCGAAGTGATATCATTTATATGGCGTGCCTGTCCCTGAACTCTGTTAAGTGCGAGTGACGCACGTGGCTTCAAATATCACCCTGACCTTCCTCGTAAAAATAATCTTTGTAACGTCAGGTAATGGGCCCTCACCCCAATGTAATTGCTATGGGTCAACATCATTATTGAATTATGCTACACACGATAAATTATTATGGTCAATTGGCCACACATATAATAATGATTTGTTTCATCATGTGTAATTGATAACGTCCCACGTTTCTTATATATAAATTTAGATCACAATTGTGATTTCAAAATTATTATTCAGACGGTATTAGTAGTTAAACAGTTTATGTACTGGGCAAAGATAGTATAATACTGATAATACTTGATCTAAGCAATGACGGAATGCATGCGGTCAGATGGAATTACGATCCCGTATCGCGATTTCGGAGTCTGTCTAGCGCCGACTGGAGGAGAAATTTATCAAAATAATAAATATTTAAGAAAATGATAAAATTAAACAAAGGTAGCGGAATAATATTGGTGATTCAAAAATGTCGTTCGACAGTAATTGTAAAACTATAATATATTATTTTTATATATAAAAACGAACCCTATTTCTCTTGGTCACGGCCACTCCCTTATTTCGTTCATCGTATTTTTTTCTCTAGTACGGAACTACAATTTGTGTAGAATTCCAGGAAATTTAACAACTATATTATATTCGTGCGTGTCACCGCTCACGCATTTACTAAGATGGGAAGTCTTCTAACTAGTATTAAATAGTAACCGAGACTTAGCTCATGTTATTCATACTTTTTTGGGTTAAGGCCTGGGCCTTCACCCCAATTCTCTGGGAAACTTCCATGTTCAGAACAATATTAGAACTTATGTAACTTTCGTTGTAACATTGTCAAAATACTGAACAAATATAACGTGGTACATATAATTAAAAAAACATCATACTAAAAAAGTAAAACTGCGGTATTAGTATTGATCATATGTATGAAATACATAATTTGATTTTGTGATACTTACCTGTAATATAACCTTACCTTTTTTTTAACTTGGTGAAAATCCCTCATGGAAACCCGCCCGCCCCGGGGGAGGCAAGCGGGTACTGTGAGACTCCTACTCACTAAAAACTCCAAGATGCCCCTCATCCAACGCCATGTGCCGCAGTCGCGGGATCGAAATCAGTCCACCCCGCGACGGATATAACCTTACCTAGCGCAAGGTTGATGTCGAACAATCAACGATTATTTATCCGACAACCTGACTTTGTCCTCGGTCAATATGACTATTATTTGTATATTTAATGCCTATGTTAGAAATTGTTTGAAGCAATAGTTTTATTTGCATATTTTTAAATTAACATATTCTAGTTTTCATTTTACCGTTTTCCAATAAAAATTATGTATTAAACTTACGTTAATTTTTACTTTTATAACTATGTACGAGGATTTAAAATGTGTCCTCACCCTCGTTATTGAAATCATAGATCGATGACGATAAGTTTTTTCATGAAATATTCAATTATGTACACTGTTTTTAAAATGTGACATAACTTACAGTAAAACAATTTTCCCTCAGGCACAATTAAAAATCTTCAAATACCATCTCTGGTAGCTGACTTCTAGGTTTAAAACAAAAAATATTTGATAATTATCTGTTTATTTTTTTTTATAAAATTACTTTTGAAACATATAGGCACATAATAAGTATAATTAATTATTATTTAGCTTTCTTCCCTTTCTGTTTTGTAACTTTATTGGACTTCGTCTTCTTACCGCGACCCTTTGTTTTCTCCTTGGCCTTCTGTGCACGCATGTCTTTCTTCATTCGCGGGTCCACTACTCTGTATTGCCCCTTAACTCCTTTCGGCCTTTTCATGCGTTTTGCGGTATTATGTTTTTTGGCAACGACATATGTAATCTTCTTCTTCCCATCTGACTGTGCCTTTTTATACAACTGTCTAACTTGCTGTGCTTTTTCTCTTTCTGATATATCAGCATTCTCCATTACTGCTTCCACTTTCTTTTTCGCTCGCTCCATTCGCTTAATCATACGTTTCTTCTTCCTAGCTTTTGCCTCTATTACTTTTTTAATAGGCCTTGCATTTATATCCTGTAGCCTATTTTTGTACTCTTCTGTATATATCTGAAAAATATCAATCAAAATTTATAACTTATTAGTATGTATGCTGTACATAAAATTGCGATTGGAATATTGGTTAGAAAATGATATATATAACTAATGACGAAAGGTCTATAACATAAGCGGGTTTTATCAACTTCCATTTAGATATTTAACACTTATCGTAATAAGTACTTTGTAAATCATCAAAACTGTTTTATGTATTTATATAACGTCGAAGAAGTACATAGTAAAACGAAGAAGTATATGGTATTATTAATGCAGTTAGTAAACTAACCAATCCTAAAGTTACAAGTTTACTTGAACCGAAATTATTTCTATTTTTAGTTCATTCTCGTTCGTACAATAAATATTTGTAGAATCGTTTAGTCGCCTAATACAGGAAATAGAACAATCTTATACGTATCCAAGATACAGACCAATTTTTTGTAATTCGTCAAATCTTTAATTACCTCAGGCACTACTACCGGTTTCCTCATATGTTTTTTCTCGTCTTCTACAAACCAATCCGGAAGATTTGTATCATTAAATGCATAGCGATTCCATGCATCGTCGATTAAATCTCTCTTGAATTTCTTAGATGTTGCTATCATAGTACCTAATGCTAGCGTCTCTGCGTCCATTTTAAGTTCTTTTTTTAACTTTTTCAATTCTGGAATTATAAAACAAGTACTGTAAACTTCTTAAACGTAAATTATATGTTATCATTAATGTTTACAAATTCATAGCATAAACTAAAAAATACTGTTTTATGGAACATATTTTAGCCGCCAAACAACTTTGTATGCTGTTTTGGTTGTGGGATACAAATTAGGCAGTGAAATTACAGGCTAAGAGGTCGTCTGGAATGGAAACGCATGAGTGGTATTGCAGGTGTCACACAATAACGTGATGTCCGTAGTGCTGTTCATGTAGGTATATACGCGACGATAATCGCTTACCGGCCTTAGGTGGGCCGTCAGTTTGCTAGCCATTCCAAATACAATCCATACAGCATTACACAAGTTTTTGTTATGATACCTACTTCTCTTCTATTTACATTATTTATAAATTATTTGCAAAACAAAAATAAATACAAAAGAGTATTTAACTTATACCTACCAGGGTCCTGGGACACAACTTCGAAACCATCTTTTCTTCCAGTTCGATTACCACCTTTTCCATTACTAGGATTGACAGTCTCCTCCACATCATAATCACTGTCAGATGTATCATCACTATCATCATCATCAGACTTCTCTGTATCACTTAACCTTCTCTTCATGCTGAAGTTCTTTGATTGAGTTGTGGCAATGTCAGTATCTTCAGAAACTTTTTTTCCTAAAGTTAATATTATCATAAATAAAAGAAACGATTATTCATATTAGTAAAAAATTATTTCTTGTTTTTATTTTATTCATATAAACTTAACATAAGCACTTTTGAACAGTCATATTTTCTTTGATTCTACCACTCATTTGATATGCAGCATCATCACACATAGAATGAGTAATGAACTTGTGTTGTTTTTTTAAATAAATGTTCAGCATTATATTTACAGCAGTTTGTCCCGAAAGTTGAATAAGTAAGTAAATAGTTACTTGAGTAACAAAGTTATACGTACAGTGATATATACAGTCATAGTTATCAGAACAGACCATTACATAAATAGATCGTATAGAAAAGATAAATGTACTCCTTTGCCCATTTTGCCCGCTGGGATAGCAACAATGAATAGAGACAGTTTATCACTGTTGCTTTTAAAATCACTTCTTCTATTATCACTTTATAAGAGCACATTCAAATCAATACATTTTCAACAGAAATATAAAAAACGCCTATAACCTTTTTCTTTGTATGTTTCAACCATTTTATCTAAATCTACACCCTCGTCACTTTCCTCATCCATTTCATTGAAGCAGTCCTTTTGAAACCATAATTCTGCTTTCAAAGTCCTCTTCGATACAGGATCTGTATTGTCCAAATCTGTCAGCAATGGATTATTTTTCGGTATAGTTGGAGTTCGGGTCATATTACTGTTCCTCAATGTGTTCAGTTTAGTCAATTTATCCATTTTCTTTGATTCATTATCAGAATCTGAGAATGCTGTAATAAAATAGTGATGATAAACTTAAAAGGTTCTAGATTTTCAATGAATATTTGATATTAATAATAATACAATTAATTTGTAAATTAATATGTAATTAACAGCAACTACAATCAACATATAACAAAAAAAATGTATACCTAAAGATTCTTTATCTTTTTCATTTTCCGAATCAGATTCCATCTCTAATTCACTGTCAGAATCTTTATAGTAGAGTCCTGACGAGTCCAATTTTGATGATTCCACATCATATTTCATGTATTTTGCCTTTATTCTAGGTTCATCATCTGACTCGTCACTGGCATCCGCTACTATGTCAGGCCGCTGGTCAATAATATTTGCCAATTGCTGGAAATATAATATATATTATTATTGTTTATTTCTAATATTGTACATCAAAGTCATTTTTATCTATTTGTCCACTTTCGTCATCTAAGTGACACAACACACTTTCATTTGTATGTATATTTAATCTTTATTAAATTAATTAAATCAGGATCTTTATTTTTGGCCACTTGGTAATTATTCCAAATCCTTTCCTCTTGTATGTAGTTTATAAAAATTAATATGAATGAAGTTTCTAAAAAGTCATGTTCAAAGATATTAGACTTAATATCTTTGAACTGATAGACGGATTAAGCCGTATTAATCCGTACTCATCACTATAATATTAATTTATATTATTCACTCCATTAAATTGGCAGTGATTTTCATTAAATACTAGCTGACCGGCGAACTTCGTATCGCCTAACTGTCGATTCTTTATTTTTTAGTTTATTTAAAACTTATTCTGCTATTTGGGCCGTCGGGTCGAAATTTATAAAACAACTAAAATTATATTAATAGTCAATAAAAAAACAATTTCACTTTCTTTTTATTATGGTGTTGACTTATTATAATTTATTTTATTTTTACTTATTCGAAATTAAGTTTAAATTTATTTTTATTGTAGTACTTTATGATACACAGTATTCTTTAGGTGAATAATGGCAACTTCATCAATAGTAGGTGCATTAAAATGTTCTGCTAGTTGCCCCACAGGAGTTTTATCAGCTCTAATAACAAATGTGATTATCAGATGGCATCATATCTTTAAATAATATAATCAATTGATTGTATTGATGAAAGTGATATAAGTTTTATAACTATTCAAGTATTAACCACTTCACTTTATTGTTATGTGACAATGTAGATTGATTTCTTGTGGAGAATTGCCTTGCCTTGTAGTCGTTATCCGGCACTGGTAACAGAGAACTTGCTCTGTAATATTTGACTTTCTATCTAGAGTGTATTGTAAAAAAATATATGGAATATAATAGTTATGGTTAATAAACATTCAATAGCAAATACTATTACAACCCTAAAAAATCTGCATGAAATTTTTTCAAACTATTTCGTTGCTCCAAATAAAATCATTTGACGGCGGTTGTTGTATTGTTGAATATTGTTTAAAAAGAATATGGAGTCTGTCTCTATTCCTAAAACCAATGAGTACAATGGCTCTGGAGGTGGAAGCAAAGGTATCAATTTCACATTTCCATTTGCAACAAAATTCGTTAGTTTCATTTTTGTATTTCAGTGCCTAACAATATGGCAATGAGTTCATAGGTCCAATAGTAACACAGATACTGTAATCAATTAACCTATCGCAAAAGAAAGCAGCTCGATTCAAACTTGCAACATTATTAGTCGAATGTCGCGCTTCGCGGGTGTATATTGCCCAAATTCTTTCATGTTCATTGCGATTTTCATGTTCCTGGGCAGTATGATTAGATGAGATTCGTTGCATTTCGGGCTCTTCATTAATTAATTTAATTAATGGAACTTGCAGACCTTAGACTTGACTGTAGAACATTATGGAGGCATATCTTATTTACAGTCTGAGTTACAATCACACAATGCTTTTAAAATGTTTGTCTTTTAGATTTGTAGTAATATTATAGATGATCAATGAGACATTTACATTGCAAGTGACATTTTATTACTGACAACATGTTTTTGACTAATATTGACACACGCCTTCTCGGAACCTCTCCACTTACACTTGAACTTTATTATATGGTATTAAAGTTCAAATTAACTTTTAAATATCATTACGAAGCGTTTGTATGGGAGTCTTCCCAGAACCTCTCCACTAATATTTGAACTTTATGGTATGGTATTAAAGTTCAAATTGACTTTTAAGTATCATTAAGAATTTTTTGTATGGGGTTACAGAAAAGTGTTGTTTTTAGGCATTTTTTTAAATTTTTCTCTCCGTAAGAACCATTCTCGTACCTCGAGAAATATTTTAAAAAAAGAATTATCGAAATCGGTTCAGTAGTTCTCGAGATTAGCGCCTACCAACATATTTAGCGATTCATTTTTATATTATAGATTTAAATTACAAAGTGACTTACCTTAGCATTTTTTATATCTGATAGTTTAAACATATCATGATTTTCCAATATTGGTCCATCATCACCTTTCAGCACCATCTTTAGATTCATCTTTTCTGCTAATTTCTGTCGTTGCTTGTTTAGCTGCTTTCTCTTTCTTTTTGATAATCTCCTTTCTTCATCCTTTAATAAATTTTATCATATTACATTAGTTCAAAAATAAAATGAGAATAAAATACATTATACCAATCATGACAGCCTAGGTGGTCTAGTGGTATAGCTCATAGTAAAAATATTTGTATTCATGAATACAATTGTTTGTATCCATCTGGATGTTTTCTATGCATATTATGCAAATATGTTATATATATCTAAGTATTTATATTAATTATCAAATAGCTATAACACAGGCTCTATTTAGCTTGGAGCTAGATGGTGTTGTGTGAATTGTCCAGGGATATTATTATTATTATGACCCTACCAAATAGTTATATATACAGTCATGGAGAACACCATAAATTCAACACCAAATAATTTATTCTACCATTAATTAAAAAATAGTACTACTAATAAACACTGTTTGAGTTATTATAAGAATAGCAATTAAAGTATAAACTTTCTATTTGAACAAAATACAAACCTGGAGTTCTGCTATTTCTTCATCAACTTTATCTTCATCATTCGATTTTTTTTCTTCAGTACCATCAGTATTGATTTCACCATTGATCACCTTCTCTTCATTTTCATTGGATTTACTTTCCTATAATATGAAAATAATACTTAAATACATACACCTTATAATGATTTTTATGGTTGTCATTTCATATATGAAAAGAATATGTTTTTTATAATTTAAAAATAAATATAAGAAAGATATAAGAAAAATAATGCCAATGTCAAAAATTTATTGCTAAGTTTGACATTTGATAACATGGCAGTACAAACCTAAGGAAATATGATATACATTTTCTATTTTAGGAATTATCTAATTTTGGTAAATGTTACAAAACATCTTAATGAAAGAAACAATAATTTCTTTACTAGTCACCTAGTTCTCTACTAGTAACACCATCCTTGTTAATAATTGTGTAAATGAAAACTTAATCCAGCAAATAAACATAGCATTATTATTGCATACATAAACAAGGTAAATAACTACATAAGTTTATTTATAACATTACCTGTGATGTCTTCCATTCTTTAATCTGTTTCAACCAGCTTAATAATGCTTTCAGATCTTTACGACCAAGAACTTTAATGTCTTTACAGCATATTTTGATCTCCTCTGTTGTTTTAGGGTGTTGCTCAATATTAATATCATCAATTACAATCTGTAAATATTCAATATTAGTTTTAGTATATGTGAAGTATTACAGTACTAGACAGAAGAGAGGATAGTTACCATATTTATTTTTAATCTGTAGATGTTATGTAAAACCTACACAATTCTTGATGGTCCTACAATATTAGTATAAAGTAACAGCTAAATAATATAAAACTCAGAGAAATCATTATGCCAGTAATAAGACACAAGTTATCATTCTTAAAAAACAAATGGTTGCCAATTACCATTAAATGTGGCAGGGTTATTGCTATCCCAATTAAATTAAAGCATTGTTGTAATAATAATTGACAGATTAATAAATTCAAATATTATAGGCTTTAAAAAATATTATAATTAGATTGACATACCTCTGAGCACTCTTGTAGAAGGTCTATTGGATCATCTTTAATTATAAACTCAGACACAGGAATTTTATGATGTGTTGTGTAATCATTCTCTTTATACCCTTCAGCTTTTGCCTTCTTTTGTTTCTCAGGATGTAATATATTGTTATGTTGTTTTTTAACTATTTCTAAATCTTCAAACACATGTTTGGGATCGAGAAATTTAGGATCAATAGTATCTGGTGCAATATATCCTTGGCAAACAACAAAAATTTCAGACGATTCATTACGGGATGCCTGTGGTTTTGTGGCATGAACTTTTTTGAAGAATTGCTTTAAAACCCACAGTAGGGCATGATAATCTTTAGACCTAAAAACTTTTGTAACAAACCAACCATTCTCCCTCAAAAAAGAAGTAGATAGTTTTAGAGCACTCAATGTAAGACATGCTTGTTGGTAGGCATCATGGAGCCAATTTAAACCTACATTAGGGGCACCATCATGAAGTACAACATCTGCTTTCCATGTTTTAATTTCTTTTTTAATGGCAGTTTTGCATTTTTCTGTTGTTATATCTTGTGTAAGACCAATACAGCCAGGCACAGGTTTGATGGGAAACAAATCAACTCCAATAACAAGGCTAGATACAGGCATGTTCTGATGTGCCACCTGCATCCAACCACCGGGCGCGGCGCACAAGTCGATACATACTCGAGATTTTTGCAGAAACCCAAATTTCCTATTTAGCTGAATTAATTTAAACGCAGCTCTGGAACGATAACCTGTAAGAAATGGTAATATTAAGAAAAAATGTGGTCAGTAGTAGTTATAGTAATAACACAAAAGAATAGAACAACAATAAATTACCGGTTTCCTTTGCTAGTTGGTAATATTTATCTTTTCGTTGTTTACCAACTTTGGTTTTTTTCCCCATTTTTGTAAATAAAGAACATGAAAACAGTTGTGGTAGCTAACTTTGAGGTTATTTCTTTTTTTTTTCTAGTTTCATTACGATTTAGAGATGAAAATAAACATATAGTAACATATGTGTTTTTGAAGGCTCATGTTCATTAATTAGCACTATCGTCTTTTGATTTCCATTATAAACATCATATCTCTTATTATTATTAGGATCAAAATAAAAAAATGAAAATTGCTCTTTTGATTTTCAAGCCGTTTTTTAATATCGGTAATATTTGCACGATTTTTATATTTATTGTTAGATTTTCATATAACAAAGTAAATTTAAACGATAAAGCTATCGTTAAAAAGCATGCTCGTTTTCATCAAACCGCTTTATTTGAAAATGGTTTGTTATTTATGTGACATATGTTGTTTGTTCTAACTTCTAGTTTTGTCATAATACTGTCTGAGACAGCTCAGCTCGTTTATCTATATCCAATATATGGAAGTCATAAATAAAGCTATGTTTTTGCTTTTTTTAAGCTTTCGATGTTCAACGTACATCCTTCACGTTATTAATGATTTGTGTAATGTTATAATACCAGTTTAGAATATGGTGTTGTGTACAATGCAGTAGAATTCTAAAACTTTTTCACGATCTATTATATCATATTGACAACAAGGCGCAAGTAGATTCAACATCTACGCTAACATGAAAATTAAAATAATAATGAATTGCTAAAAGAAGTTACAAAAAACACTTTAACCTTATAAATATAATATAATAGAAACACCTATATTACAAACACGTGTGTTAAAGTATTTAAAAAATTGTTAGGATATTATTTATGATTAAAAGAGCTGGTACTCTAAGTCATAAAAACCATTTATTAAAATGAATGCCCAACACCACGTCAGTCTGATATCGTCACGTCAAGTTATGACTTATGACGTCATTTCATTAAAGAAATATCTGTCAGAACTCGCAAGAAAATTACGTTCGACCCTCTAGTTTGTGAAACTGTCTAATTTTACCTCACCAGATTCTTTAAAATCTTCTGAATAGTCTAGAATTATTTTATAAATTTATAATTTGTAGTTAAAATAATACTTTGCATATAATTTGTGAAATTTTACTTGGAAAATAACTGTTTTAGCTAATTTGGGATTGAGTAATATCAATTGGGCATTGGTAATATCTTCAACATGACGCCCAACATTCAAACATTCATAAACAGCTTTCAAAATAGACTGTGAGTATATATCCTCCGTAATTTTTCTTGTTAATCTATATTCTACGCCATTAAAATTACCCAGATATACAAATTACTTGATATACGTCTCTATACTCGAGTCCGAGGTCACTTTATTCTATTGTTTTCTAGAAAACTACGTATGTCTGTTATTCTTACTGCATTTAGTAAACAATCATGGCATACTTTTTTATCGTTATTATTCATAAAAAAAATCTAAAAATAAGACGCAATTAAAATTATGTTTATAAAAGTATAAATTAGTAGTGTTATAGTTGAAAGAGTATGTTTTAATCCAGTCAATGTGTATGTATGTATGTGCAACATTGTAGAACTTAATAAATAAACTTTTCTTTACTGTGGATAGATTACTCTAAAAATTAATGTCTTATTGTTATAGTACCCACAGTTCATAATTAATAAACAGTTTAGTCTCCCGAGATAGATTCTGCATTTCTGTGTTAATGTATATAACATGTATGCAAATTACACTGATGTACACTTTCTACTATGTAATACATATGCAATACACATTTGTATTCAAATAGATGACAAGTAAAAATTATTTCTTAGTCTAAATTTGATACTCAATGTTTTCCAAAATTAATAATTATATCACAGGAAAAGATAGAATAGCTCCATTACTTTAATACCTTTGAAAGTCTATATTTGTATACCAGTATAATTAGTGTAAACTTCAATGATTTCCTACATCATAAATTCATCCATTTTATAAGTAATTTGCCCCTCATGGCTAGATTTCTCAACTTATAATAGTGGTACCATATACTTACAGTTTTGTTATTGATTTAATGATTTATATATATCTACTTTTTAATCTATCTACAAAATGCAACAAAACTAAGATCTCTAATTACTAGATATAAATTATAAAACATTTATTTGATTTCTATTATTAAACATATATTTTTTAGTGAACAGCCAGTACGCCAGCATCTGAAAAATGTCTATGGCACATTAACAATGACATGTGGTGCAGCCACTGCTGGAGTGTTTGTTGACACATACACCAGATTCCAAGCAGGATTCCTTTCAGCAATTATTGGTGCTGGCCTTATGCTAATGTTGATTGCCACTCCAGACAATGGCAAAAACACAACTTTACGTCTTGGATATCTGCTTGGGTTCGGATTAACATCAGGTATCGTGAAAATTATGCTTTAAATCAGCATTCTCTAAACTAGATAGGATCTAGAGCCAATAAAAATGACTAAATTCATTGGGGGCTTCAAAATATTTGTAAATACAAAAGCAGGTATAATATCATTATTTTATCATTGAATGCAACACAAAAAACATAATAAAAATCTTCAATGACTTGAGAATAACCTTGTGTAATGAAATCTCATTGCCTTGAATGACAACCCAATAAACAACAGTATTAGCAGAAAGTGTTTGAAAATCCCTATTATATGTTTGGGGAATTCCCCTAGTGCTCAAACAGTGGCGTGCGTGGCGACACGTAATTGGTTACACTCCTAAAACATTTGAATTTTGTTGCCACAAATAGAAATAAAAAGTCCTGTCAGCAGAAGAGAAAATGATTTGCTTTATCAAATCATTTGGAATTGCAAAAGTCATATTTCTCTCTTCAAAAATGTTGTTATTATTTAAATAAAGAAAATAACAAAATAATTAGCGAGCCGCATCAAATGCATGCATGCCGCATGTGGCTCGAGGGGCGTGGTTTGGACAGCTATTTTTATAATATTAGTGTGGTTTAGCTCCTCAACAATTTTAATTTTATATATATATTTTTGTTAACACAATTGACAACTGTGACGTCATAAGAGAGTGATATTGCATAATGAAATAAATGTTAAAATGAAACTTATATTATATAAGCTACCTTCACCAAGCTAAGTTCACACAGGTGTCTTAATGTTTTCTACCAAAGTATTGAATTAGTTCATAAATAGAAATAATCTTTATTCAAATATACTAGTGCATGTAAGTTTTGAATACTAATATAATTTTAATTATACTACCACTCATTTGGATTGCTGACTCATTACAAGAAGAATAAGAAAGAAACTTGCCTGCTGGACTTTAATAGACCAACAGGCAAGTTAATAACATAAACATAATATAAAATTAATACAAACAGTTAAATAACAAAGTTTACATAAGTAAATCAATAGTTATTTGAGTAACAAAATAACTTAATAATAGTTATCAGAGTAGCCCCACCAGTACCAGAGTATAATGGGTAAGCTAGCTATCACTGCACTCAATATTTTAGGGAGCCCCATGACCCGTCCCACGTGGTGTCGTGAGCCTGTCTGGACATTTAAGGGAACATGATTTCAATGATGAATCAGTCAATTACCATAAAATTAATTACTAACTTTAGTCAAATGCATTTAGGAGAAAAAACAGTTTGTTTTTATTACATAAGCCTTTATTAGTGCAATCCCTAACTGTTGATATTGTTAAACAAATATACATCATTATTCAATATGGTTATGTCATATTTAAAAAATATAAATGTAATATATAGTATAATGGACAAATGTTATTATTAAAAAAATATTATGTTGCAGGAATGAGCTTGGGTCCACTATTAGAGTATGTCAGCGTTGTTGACCCCTCCATAATTGTAACAGCACTTCTGGGTACCACTGTTGTCTTTGTGTGCTTCTCTGTAGCAGCCATGTTAGCTGAACGTGGCAGCTGGTTGTTCCTCGGTGGCCCATTGATGACTTTGTTTACATCCATGTCTCTAATAACATTAGTCAACATCTTCACACAGTCACATTTCCTGTACCAAGTAAGTGTTCATGTATTATATTTAATTATTGTTTATAAAAATACAAGGGATAAAAATGTTAATGTCCATATCTGCCTCATTACTCTGGTTCTTTGTGAATGATATTTACTTTATAAAAAATAAAAACACTATACAATTTATTTATTGGATTCAGCATTGAAGTTTATACAAACGTGTTCAATATTTTTATAGGCTCACCTTTACCTTGGCCTCGTCCTTATGTGCGGCTTTGTACTATTTGACACTCAACTAATAATCGAGAAACGCCGCATGGGAAATAAGGACTTTGTACAACATGCTTTGGAGCTGTTTATTGACTTCATTGGTGTATTCAGAAGACTGCTTATTATTTTAACACAAAAGGTAAAACATTTCAAACATATAATAATAATAGTGATACTTGATTTGTACCTACCATATAAATTATAATATGTAAAGGAAAGACTACATATAGCAATTGAAATGAAGTTGTTACCACATTTAATGAAAGAAAATATGTTTTCTAAAATTAATTATTCAATGGATTTGTGAAGGTGCTTAGTTTATGTTATGACTTGTAATATGTAGTTTTGATCCAGTCTTTTGTATTAGGCGGGCTTGTTACAAATAATAAACTTTTGCGTAGTCATAACGTAAAGTTAATTACCAAATCCCTAATTTAAATCTTTGGTACACAAGTGCCATATAATGAAGATAGAGTGAATCATTAGACAAAACAAGTATTTTAGCTTGTTTGCGCTATTAGTCTGAAGGCACTCTGTTCAATTGTTATTTTTTTTATTGAAAATCTGAACATATTTTTTATTTACAGGAAGAACAAAATCGTCGTCGTAAACGTGACTAAATGATGTCATTTAAAACCTTTCAAGCACCATCAAATTCATTTATTTTAAATAAATATATATACTATAATATTATGTAACATATTGTGTGTTAGGGGATTTCTAAATTCTTTAGTGAAATAAATTTATTGGAAATGATTGGAATAAATGTTTCTTTAAACCATCTTAATCTCATTATTACAAAATCCTCATAATGATGTTAGTTCTCATAGCGAATATTGAATATATAGATAAAAATCTTAGATTACTGTATACATACTCGTATATCATTGATATGTAATATTATCTTATCTGTGATATACAGTTCCTGTACAGGTGGAATATTATAAAATATCATAGAACAATAATAAAAAAGATTTATTTTATTTTATAAAATTGGTGCCATATACAACGTGACGATCAACTATTATCATTACCTAAATAAAAAAAGTCACTGACAAGCTTTCTTCTAAAAACAAAATTATTAACAGCTATTTTGTATTTAGCTATAAGTTGTCTAACTATTATTCTAAAATAGAGCATGTACATATCAACTGTACCTAACGTCTTAAAGACAAGGAACACTTGAAAACCATAAATATACAATTATATTTTAAATGCGGGCAAACGTGTAGAATAGTTTAGATATAAAATATTTATGTTAAACTAGCCTAATTTTTTTCGATAAATATATCTTTATTTTGTATGCAACTGAATTGGTAAACAAGTTTGATAGGTAAGTGGAATCTGTCACGCGTCACCTACAGGTACGTGAACAGCATCAGAATTCATGTTATCTGACGCCCGTGGTATTGCACATGCATCACCATTCTGGTCCACCAAGGATTATTATGAAATAATCCTTGGTGGACCAGAATAGTGATCGAGGCTCGAAGAGTTGAGATATAACATCATTATTATATGTCAACTCTTCGAGCTGAAACACAATTCAGATGGCATCCATTAATTACGTGAGTTGTGTAGGGAGGAGGGTTGGAACTGAATCTCAACCAAATTCAAATGAGGGAGACGAGGAGTAAGATAAAAAAGATATCCCTTTCAATGTTATGCTTACTTAAGTTTAATAGTGTAGTAATAAACGCATGAAGGTAACACGAAAAACCTATATTTCAAGGTTTTTCGTGTTACCTTCATGCGTTTATGCAAGATAGGTCTTGTCTCCCTACAAGTAGGTACTATTTCTGTGGATGGTGGAAGGCATATCAAGATGCATTATTCACATTAGTTTCACAGCATGCAGCGTTTTAAATGTCGTAGGTTTATAGCAAGTTGGTACATGTTTTCTCAAAGGAAACTTGTGGAGGAAAGAAAAAAAATTTGAAGTAACGCAATTTATATAAAAGCTTATTATTATTGCGACTTCGTACTAAATACCTGACTGACGTGATTAAGTAATCGTATACTATTTATTAGCTACCGCTACTATTTTCTTTGTGGGGATGTATTTTATTCCTGTCATAAAAAAAAATCTTTTTTGCTTTACTTAATTCACTATTGATTATTACACCGATTAGGTTTGATAAGTTTGGTTCACTGCTAACTGGCGAATTATTTACTTTTTCTAATTTCCTTGGATCAGAATCTCCTATTCCCTGTTCCGAACATTCGATTTCCGAATGATATGTTTTACTTCGTTTTTTTATTTTACCCACGTTCAATTTATTTGATATATTCATTCTAGGGCAGATACATTTGTTAAATGTATCCGATGTATCGCTTTTCATAATATACTCATAAGTAGAAACACCTAAAATTGATATATAAATATGAAAACAACATAAATGTAATAAGGCACAAGCGATTGCAAAGGCACTAATACAAAGTATTATTAATAACACTAAAAATATTATAGATTGACTGCAGTATTTAATGTAATGGGACTTATCGACCGTTGTGCAGTTTATAAATTCCTGTGCTGTAGGGCTTAACCGTTGTGGATACAATATAAATAATACTATGTCAGTTACACATAGCGACGACGTAATGACAGATATCAATAGAGCAGTTATAACGCTCGCTACAAATGATGTATAGTTTCTCATTCCGACACAATTATTTAACCACTTGCAATGGTGATCGAAATGATCCACACACTTATTGCAGATGCTGCAGTGTTTGGTTTTTTTACTGCTTGTGTATATGTTGCATAGATGACACCTCCCATTTTCAATTACGTGGGCGTGAATACTTCGGTCGAATTCTGGCACATTATTCCTCGGCAGCTTCCGTAAGGAGTTTTCACTTGGATCGATATAAGATGCTGTAACATGTGACACCATGTGAGATATATATAGGAACATGTACGTGGCTAAAGCTACGATTCGCAACTCATCAAATTGAACTTCTGCGAGTATCACAATGTTGATTGTTCCAGTAATAACAAAAATAATCCAGCCAATAATTTGCTGATAGTTCAGCGGTAGTTGTAGACCATTTATTCTCCTCTGAGATATTCTTGTTTGACTTGAAGTGCAACATTTATGCATTTGAATAATATTAGATCTCTACTCGCGGGCGGATTTCCTTTCATTTATTTTCAATGACATCTAAGGGCTCGGCTCTATAACTGCGCGCGCACTATGAATGTTTCATTTAAAACTATTTACATGATATGTCGTCCATAAAAATGACATCACCTTATTAAATTAAGAAATTAATTCAATATACTAATCGAAATCCATTACATATTAAAATAACGTATGTTGCAATGTTTGGGTTTGATATCACTATGGTAACTTGGCAAGAAATAACTTAGTTTTATCTATAAAAACTAGGCTTAAAACACCATATGCTAATATTACAACAATATATTATAGAAATTATGTATAGATTGAACCACGACCCAACTATAGTCAAGTATGGTCAGAGGAGGGTGATAAATAAATACTAATATTACATTTTCCTTATGATAATACATAATTATATTTACATGCTTCAAATAACAGATTGATTTCCTATGTCTTATTGTCATTTTCTATAGCTCTATTCTTAGCTAATTGGCGTTTTGTATGTACAAGTATCCTATGACCTTGGCAGTCCAAATTCTCTTCATAACATTTACTTTTACAACATTTCTTGCAAAGCTGATATACGCATTTACCACCCTGTAAAGAATATATGCATAAATATAACACAGAATATACATAAGGAATTAAAATAAATAAAAAATAATACTGTAGGTAACCATCAACAATATTAATATCTTTTTTTTATTTTGGAGACAAACATTCATTATGTAAATATACAAATAAACATATTTTACAATAGACTTTGAGCGCAGTAAATTTTTACATAATTTGATTAATAAGATTTCATAACAATTCTATAAAACATTACCATATCTTCTGAATTTTTTTAAAAATATGACTAAATAATATTTTTCTTTGTTTGTATTATATCTACAGACAATTTCAAGTGTATGCTTTTTAAGAAGATAAAAAATTTACAATACTCCTAAAGAAAAGAACAATTTAATTCAAATCAACACAAATTGTCAAACTGTCCAAGATCAACATTAATTGAGAGGCTAAAATATTGATATTATCAATATGCTTACAAGTGGATTAAGGCAGTCTTCTTTCATACAGATTTCTCCACTTCGCCCAGTCTGATTTTCTGCCTTAATTGGTCTTCTCATGATTCTTCTTAATTTCTTCATTTTCTTTCTAGATATAGTATTGCCATCTGGGTCCTCGTGAATTCGTTTGTGAATATTTTCACCCTGGAAACAAATGAACCTAAACTACCATATCACATATAATTATTTAATAAGACATCAATATATTCATATAAATAATGGAATATACATTTCACCTGATCTTTATTATGTCTTTCCATTTTCATTGTATGCTCTTCAGGAGACATTCTCACATAAGGTTGACATATCCATGGAGGCAACAGCAAGTTATAACCAAGCTTAATTATACTTTCATCATTATTAAAGTGTTTTAGTCCTTGATGATAGTGTAAGTACCTCTCCTTGATTGCAAAACACACTTGCCTAAAATGATTAATATTTTGTGCTGTTGCTAAGAGTTGCCTAACTTCGTTATTGTCTTCTACTATAAAGCTGTAACAATAAAAATACAATATTTATTTTCAATACTAAATTTAAACCTAAAATTTTAACACAGTACTAAGCAGAAATATAATTGTTTATGAAGGATTATTTTGTATAAAACATTTTATAAGAATTGTTCATTACACGGTACTCTGATCAACCAGCAGTGCGACCGTCCGGTCCGTCCAGAGGACACCGACAATACCCGAACAGAGCTGACCGCCACTTGTGCATAGTACGGCGGCAAAGTTACACCTTATTTTATAATCTTGTAAAGAATCAGCAATTAAACTATTTATTATATCAACATTTGTATTATTGGAGCTGCTGAAGCTCCAACAAGAATAAATATAAAGTTTCAAATGCTGTGTGGTAAAAGGATTAACACATTTCAACACACTATATTTTAAACTATGTTATTTATACTTAATGTGCTTAATATATGTTGATAAAAATTCAAATTACATTTTGTGGAATATTTTAAACAAATGTCCTCTGATGTATGAAGATGGACAAGGGTATTTCTCTATAAGGTCAAGATACTCGTGTGCGATCTCCCATGTTAGTGGATTAATTCCTTCAAATAGAGCTGGATTTGTTAGTATCCCTTCTGCACTCATTATACCATTAACATTTGTACACTCCAAACATCTATAAACATCCTCAAGACATTGTATGTTACCATTTGCAAACATAGGTATTGACACTGCTTCTCTGAAAACATAAAATATAGTTTCAAACTTATAACAGAAATTTAATATACATAAATACAGTTCAAAATTAATATTTTTAAAAGTAGAACTCTTCATTATATTTGTGACTCACCTAACTGCCTTTATATGTTTCCAACTAGCAACTCCAGTAAGAGGTCCTTTTTGTTCTCGTGTCCTTCCATGGACTGTCAGGAGTTTGCAACCTGCTTCTTGCAACATAAGTGCATACTTCACAGATTTATCTACATCTTCGAATATTCTTACTTTACAAGTTATTGGTATTGAAACTGCTTTAGACATAGCAGACACTGCCAAAATAAATAGACAAATTAATGCTTACAAAATAGATAATAATGCAAATTTTATTTCCCCCTTTTTATTTTAGGGGCAGAGCATTTACAAGATTACAGCATACCTTTTTATGTAATTATAGACATAGTTATGTAGTTTGTAGTCTCTGTGCCAAACAAATTGTGTACTTTATTTTTTTTTATGTTAACATGTCATATCTAATCAAAAATCCTCTTATAGTTTCTAAAATTGTATTTAATTATTATCATACTTTACCAATGCTTTGTAGTAGTTCCCAATCATCTTGAAGATAGGATCCATATCTACCTCTCTTTGCTATTGCTTGTGGACATCCCAGATTAACATCAATAGCATCACAGTACTGTTCAGCTAATTTGGCAGCAGCAGCCATTACTTCAGGTTTGTTTCCACAAAACTGTGCATAAAATTAATTTTCATTTAGGACTCAAGCTTATAATTTATAAAAGTGTAGGGGTTCCTACACTTGTTGATAATGATAATTGATAATCTACAGGGATGATAACTAAAAGACACGTCCCATAGTAAGCGCTTGATGTTATACACTGATTTATTGTATAGTAATTTATGTATAGTAAACTACACGCACAACAGCCCGAATGAGAGGCCAATTGCGGAAAATGGAGTCCAACCTATGTATAGTAAAATGATATATGCTACGTAAGTGATAATTTATAAGTTATTTTATGGTATCGTGTTCCGTATAAAAAGGTTAGGAGAAAATACTTCCATTTTTTTCATAAATTGTATGATTGTTATCTTATAACTTACTTTTATATAATATTCTATAAATTTGTTTCCTTATGATTAGATTTTTTATGTTTTATGTTTACATCAATAAAAGATTGCTACATTAATGAGTCTTTTTTAATTTACCTTATTTTAAATTCACACTAAGTACATATTTGTGTATGTGGTAACAACATTGATACCAATATTTCACGAAAATTCACTGGTGTGTGTTACACTCTTGAGAAGCTGTCAATGACTAGTGTTGGTAATGCATTACACTTCACAAAAGGAATCAATGACGAGATAGAGACATATTAATAGTATTTTGTTTATGCATCTCTTATTGACATTGCTGCATCATTAATTTTTGTATATATCGTATTGTTAAAGATATTTTAAACTAACTGAGAAGTACCTGTACTATTAAAGGACGATCTTCTTCACAAGTCTGTAAACTATCTTTTCTATATTTTGGATCTTTTATGAAGACATTGCTATGAAACATCGGAGAATAACATAACTGAGCTCCATGCCTTCGGCAAAGAAGACGCCAAGCAAGTTCACTAGCATCCACCATTGGAGCAACCACAAAACGTGGTTGTCCTAATTGTTCAAACCACTCATAAGACATATCAGGTGAATAGTAAAAATATATAAGCCTAAAGTCTGTAAATAAAGATATTTTGTAGGTAATATAATAACATCTTGTCAGTAAATTCAATTTTAATGATCTTCGACTTCGGGATCTACCTACAAAACTCAGCCTCGTGTCTTTGACTTTGACATTTTGTTCGACAATTGTTATCAGTGACGTCAGTCATTGTCAGAGTTTTTTTTTACTTCAGGCTCCGGCTATTTGTTTTGCCATTATTCATTTTTTAGTTTTTTTTAGTGCTATTGTCAGTTACAGAAATTTGTGCGGTATTTAGTAGTAGTAGTGGTATTAGAAATTTGTGTTTGTAATTACTAATTCTGTGATATAGTGTCCACAGATCACCTTTATACAAGCGATTCTAAATATTTTTATCTGTGGCTTTGGCTTATACAAACACTGAAATTGAAGCTTTTGTAATACAGATTCTACTTCTCGTTTTTCTATATATTTTGCTATCAATATAATATATATTTTTTTAATTGTCCCAAACAAACATAATGGCTCAAGATTTAATGGTAGTATACTATTATTTCATCTATTTTGTTTATTAAAGAAATTTAGATGTTCTAGCTTTGAATAAAATAGTGATCCACCCCGGCATCTCTTGGTTGATCATAACTTTAAGGGTTTTGTATAGATTAATTTAGCTTTTATATATTATATACAGTATTCCTAATTCATATTAACTATGTCATTCTGGAGTTATGTATTTTCTGATTAATATGTTTCAAACTGGAAGAATTTCTAAAACTCTGGAATCATGACATGGTGCCAGAGTTTGCTTTTTGATAAACAATCTTTCTCTTTATAAATGCTGAATGGAAGTCACATTCAGAGTTACTAGTATGTTTTAGCTTTTAGGTTGCATTTTAAATAAGAATACTGTAATGCTGAATAAATGTCTTTATTATTATTACTATAGTATTAGTATAGATATAGATGAATATATTACGACATTTTCTTCAGATCAATTTGTACTCAATTATATTTTTAATATAAATATGCCATTTATTTTCATTTTCAGGGTCAATTTTATACCTGTCTTAATCTGCCATTACAAGAAAGACTTATAGAGCTGACAAGAATTATTGATACAGGGCCAACTAAAGACTTGCAAATTTTGTTTCCACAATTAGTGAACAATATTTTTGCTTCAACTTTCAACAATGGATTTGGGCTGAGAACAATTACCTTTGATGGGGACAGATGTGCTTTTGAAATTTTAATGAAATTCCTAGAGCCTTTGGGGCCAATGTTTCGCTTGTGTTATAAGCTTTTATCAGATTCACTGTTGAAATACAATTTGCCATTAAGTGTATTGCCGGTAAGTACCTGTTTAAATTTATAATCAAATACAGCACATTAATGTTAGAAAAATGACTAAAAACAAATAAGTATTTTAATTTTAATGCTGTTCTTTTTATAAATCTTTCAAAGTAATTTTACTTTGAGTGTCTTATTCTTTAAATTACAATTAAGTAATAACCACATGTAGTATTTATGTTGTTTTAGTATATAGAGATTTACTGTAGAAACTTCTCAAAGCGTGAAACAAAATTATACAATAAGCTTAAATATAAAAGATCATAATATTTTTATAAAAATGGACCAAAAATATACAATGCCATGTTAAAAATATTTTCGTATTATTATATATATTTTTTATATAAATTTAGAACTCTAATTCTACAGTACAATATAAGTTTATATGAGACAAAAAAAGTAAACATAAACCTATAAAATTAATAGTATGTTTTTGTTTCAGTTAGATTTGCAAATGACTTTGGACAGAGGTAGATGTCCTCAGTTTTATGGAGATATGCTGACTTTGGATCCACAATCACTAACGATGGGAGCTTTAGCTTTGAGTATCCTTTTATAATATCATGTGAAAATAAACATCGCAATATAATATAATTTTATTTACTATTTAATTATAAAAATCAGAAAGGCAATATTAATTAAATAAAACTTATAAATTAAAATTAGCTACAAATTTTTATTATAATGCCTAAAGGTAATCATAATAATATTTTTTTTAAATGGTAGTTTCAAACTTTAAAAAAGTTTTACTAGCTAGAATTGGTTAGCATTTGCAATCTACATCCAAAAACAGCCTTTTTATGTGATATAATCACATGGTTTTTGCTTATGGGGAAATGTGAAATAATGTCCAACCCATACTAAATGAGCACTATAAAGTAGTAATGTTGCTAGTAGTAATTTAAATACAAAATCTAGTTGAAAATTATGTGATTATTATCAATATTTTTACCTATTATTCCTTATATATGTATACAACAGATCCATTTGACTATTACATATTTAATTTTGCCTTACATTTAGTTAGTAATAGTCAAAATAAAAGTTCCTGGGAGAATTGGAATAGTGTGTATTTTGCATTAGCATGTGATTATCTTACACACTTTTTACCATCTGATCCTAATGTACTTGTCTTGCCACATATACCATATTATAATGGGAAGGTGCCAATGGTAACACCTTTGCAAACTTCTAGCAGGTGATTTGTCTATTTATTACACTTTTACGACTCGTAACTGATACATAGGTTGGCTGTTGGAGTGAGATGCAATATGCATTCATACAAAAGCCTATAATATCCCAACTACAACTGTAACAGGTTAAAAAATGTAACCGTAAAAACCTTAGGTAAACTATGTATTAAATCGTCTATATACCTCAATACCACCTGCCATTTCATCTGCCAATCAGCTTACTTTGTCAACTGTGCTTCATTGAAAGAGTGACAAATTGCAGTGATATTGCAGAGCCCAATCTCTGTCATATCACTGCTTCAATAATATCATATAGCCTATTGAGGCATGACATATTATATTAGTCCTCCAGAAAGGGAATGCTTGAGGAATATTGCTCTGCCATATGTATGATGTGTATCCTTGGTGCTGTGCATGGATATAGGTGAGGGTTGCCATTTACCATCAGGTGGATTCAGCTTGTTTGCCATTCTAGTTATGTAAACAAAGGTGTGTCATACATAGTAATGGAGACGAATAATTATTATTTTATATACAAAAATATTTATATATAATTTATTTTTTGTAATCCTAAAAAACTAATTTGTAGGCCTCTCTATTCTCCTTCATTGCTTTTAATACCTGATATATCTGGTATGACCAATCAACACAATCAGCACACAACTCAGTCGCAGTCACGTAACGAAGTCTGGCGCTCCGAGACAGTATTGCAAGTCTTTATTGACATTTGGATGTGTGTGGAACAGTGTAATACAAGCAATGTTGATGTAAGTGAAGCCTAATAAAGTAACATACAGATAAATACATTTTCAAATTAATAATAATAGTATAGATATTCAATTTCAACTTGTGAATCACTCTTGCAACTTCAAAACTTGCAATTCAAGTAAAAAAGCAAATTATTTTCAGATGTACCAAAAAAAATACACCACTGTATTCTCAAGCCCAGAACGTGTAAGAACAGTGAGAGTACTTGTGAAGCATATACATTCGTATTCTGCGAAACATTTCACAGATCTGACATCTCGTTCTTCTGCACTACGTAAATACGCACGACAGATTATGTGTGTGCGTGGATATCATTATGTCCAACATTTAGTTACTACATGGCCATTGGATGCTTCGTTCAGACTGGTTATGGAATTATGGTTGAGTCTTATCCAGCCTTGGAGATATACAGATAATAATATAAATCAAGACAGGTTTGCTCTTTTTTCTAAATATACATTTATAGTCTGCAATTTACATATTGTGAATAAATATGTATTATTAGTTGCGATAAATATAATAATAATAACACTGGGCAATCTGCACTGCGCCATCTAGTCCCAAGCTAAACAGAGTTTTTGTGTTAACTAGATAACTGATATACTATATATACTTAAATACATCCATAATATACATAGGAAACACTCAGACCAATACAAGCAATCACACTCATGAAAAATATGTTTGTATTGGTTACTCGGCGGCAGTACACTCGCTCACGCATTAGTAATCAAATTATCGTAGTATTGGTAGGCCCTGGGCAACTAGTGTCCTATTGCCCATCTAAAACTGTTGGAACTGCACTTCAGTAGGCACTACAAGCCTTATGGACCTCTAATACTAATGGCAAACTTCTGTTTAAACACGAGATCTTCTGACGATTTACCTATACAGATACACAGTTCTTCCTTCTGGTAGTCAAATAAAGTCTGGTTCACGTTCTCTTTTACCTCGTCTATCTCGCATTTTACGTGGTCCGATGTCTAGGCTTTATTATACTATTTCTTTTATACCATGCCTTTCTTTGTTTTCTTTACCTTAATATGCTATAACTTGTCTTTAATAGGTATGTAACATCAAACAATAACCAAGAAGAAGGAAATAGCAATACTTTGGATGCCAGCTTCACTCAATACATAGCTGAGAACTTTCCATCTTACACTTGCATCTTTCAATCTGTGTTACCAAGATTTTTGAGATTAGATTTGACTGCGTATAAGAATGCAATTATGTTATTCAGGCTGGGGAAGGTAAGTTAATCACTAAGAATGTAGGTAATGTAAGTGTTAAGTATACAATTTTTAATGTGTATTGTTTCATTTTATGTAGGTATTCTCACAGCAACATTTGGTTCCAATTTTATGGAATTTGGAGCAAGCAATTACTGATACATCTTCGGGCTTACATCAGACTCCAGACACTAGTTTCAATAATTCGGCTATGGAACAAAGGTAATTACAATAAAAGGATTTTTTCCTTTGTTACGTATTTATTTGTGAACCGGATTATCTTGTATGTCAGACTGGCTGTTGAACCCTATTATATAATAATGTAAATTTTCTTATTGTAAATAAAAAAATTGCAAGTACTCGAAGAACAGAATAATAGTATTATTCTGTTTTTCGAACATTACAGCGAATTACAACAAACAGATCTTTATCTGTTGTAACTCGCTATGGTTGAAACTTAATTCAAGTAATAAAATGTTTCTATTACTGACAGTTTAATTACAATTATATTACATTTTTTAATATAGTCCTATTTTTTAAAAGTTGTTATAATCTTAACAATAATATAAACCCGAAAATTTGTAAGTATGGATGTTAGTTATTCCTTCACTTAAAAACTACTGAACTGATTTTTATGAAACTTCACAGCTCATTCATCAGAATAACACATAACTTATATTTTTTATTGAAATCTAACGCAGCTGAAACCGCGGGCACATCTAGTTATAATAATAAAGTTTTCATCGTCGTGGTATAATGAATTGCACTAATACTTTTTGTTTCACATCGTATTTTAAAATGTTTATTGTTTACCTGTAGTTATACATATAATGGAGTGCCTTTACACAAATGGGTTGCTGTAGCAAAACAAGCACTGTCTGAATTTAATTTATCAGCAAATTATGAATATGATCCTATATGGACTGACAACAAAAAGCAGTATGCAATTGAATTTGTACAACGAATCAGTGCATCCAAAGTGATTTCAGAAAAAAATTTTGATGAAATTTGCAAGAGGATGGGTCAACAGAATCGAGGTATGTAATAATATTGCATGATGGCTTTGGTGGTCTACCGGTTTAGCACACCACCTTAAGTCCAATGTATTTTGCTGCAGTTGACTACAGCTCCAACTGCATCATACTTAACCCTCCTTTCTCCGTACAATTACTTTGTATTTTGTTCTCCCTCCACCCTTTCTTTTTGCTCGGATGATAAGGAAGATATTTCCACATTTAAACAAACTATCTTCTGTTTTATTATATACTAGCGATCCGTCTCGGCTTGGCACGGATGCATTAAATATCTTTGAATTCCTCAGCCTGTGCTATACATTATACATATAAACCTTCCTCTTGAATCACTATATTGCTGGAAACTGTATTAATATCCGTTGCGTAATTTAAAAGATATAAGCAATGAGACAGCGGCGACGGCCTTGTTTTATAGTATGTAAAAATTAGTATAAATTGTACGCGTTTTATAAAATTATATTTCAGGTGTCTGGAGAAGTATAAAACATTGGTTTTTGCTGGATAATCAATGTGAGGATGATATATTATTGGAGGAGACCAGAAGAGTTCCAACTTATTTAACTGCTTCCATTCATCACTTCTCAAATATATTTGGTGTACGTGATTATTTGTTTATTACATTTAAAACATGATAATGTTTTATCTAAATCACCAAAATATCTACTTACTGCAACTTCAGCGTAACAAAAAGAAGGATGGAAAGCTCTAAAAGAACATTTTTTAAAACACTTTTTTTTTCAGTTGAGTGAAAACATTGTACTGCCTCCTGAATTAATTACAGAAGAGGCATTGGACCATTCTTCTTTTGCCAATTCTTCACATTTTTCGTCGCATATAACTAACAAAGTAAGTGTACGATAGTAGTTATACGAATTTTTATACTTGTCATGTTGTTGAATATATTATATATATTTTACGCAAATTTACTGTATGTCATACGTAATCAAACATGAAATGTTTCATATAAAATTGCTAAATTTTAATTGTATGTTTATATATATTTTTATCTACTAATAATACAAATGGGAGATTATCAGATGATATAAGTTAGTTTCTTACTCAGTCACCTGTTGAAAATAAACTATTGTTACAGCTCAGAAGTAAGGCGACTGAAGTTCATTATATGGGTGATCCAGATCTGATGCCAATAGCTTCATATGAAAATACAATATTAGTTAGAATGTTGTTTCAAATATCTTCAAGAATTAATGAAATGGTAACTACATTTGAAACTATAATTGAAATGCGTAATAGTAAATAATAAAAGTATACAGTCGCGAATTTTAAGTAAATAACTCCCATAAGGGGTAATTAGGACCATCAGAAGTAATGCGGAGTCCTAAACCACTATAGTATCAGCTACCAGTTCAAACATGGCTGCTACATTGCGGTTATTGGTCACGTTACTAAAAACCTACTTCCCCCCAACTGTCGAATTGTGTGGTGATAGCAACAGTTGACATACCAACATTTCGCTCATTGTATTTGAATCGAACGTGGCATGAGCGATCCCACAACCGTTTCTAAAGAAGTATTAATTAGATGTTGCCTCACAAACTGAATTGCAAACGCAACGCAATGGAATATACATCATACAATGTATTTAATGACGCCAGGTATACTTTTCTAGTCTATAAGCGAAGGGTACCATTTTCGTCAGGTGACCTGCATATCTCAAACAATAGAAACATTTTCTCTGGAATGGCAACACATGATTGGTATCAAGTATGTCACATGATAATATGATGTCTGTACATCTGTTCAAGTATATAGGCCACGGCTACGTCTTAATAGCAAGTGCCCAACGTCAGTTCGTTTGGCATTCCAATTTCCTAAAAAATAATGATAAAAATATCTTATGAAAGAAAAATGATAGTGAAGATTTAGGTTTGTAGCTCATATTACAAATTGTTATAATTATTATCTCTTTGTTTTCAGTTCCGGGAAGAATTAATGACTTTATGGAACAGAAATAATTTTTGGGGGTTCGTAGCTCGAGAGATGTTACAGAGACCATGTACCATTCACATGTATATGAAAGATGCAACGAATCATCAGAATGTTGTGAGTCAAGATCTACCTGCGCGGTTGTCCTTAAGACGGCTGGGTTCCCACTCATTTGTTTTCTGGATCAGTTTAGGCTATATCTTTATGAGGTTGTTTTCTTACAGCGGATTTACATATGTCCTTTTCGTGATTTTGTTTTGGGCTTTATATGTATGTACAAAAGTATGTTTAAAAATGTTAAGAATCATTCATTAACTATGGAATCGATATTGTAGAAATTTATAATGAATAAAATATTTTTGATACCCTTATGTATTATTATATAGTATATATAAACGCTGCGGTCGTATCCGGTGTCAGGTTTTGCTTTCCAACTATACTTGAGAATGTTGATAATTTAAGATGTAGCTCGACTAAGATATCTTGGTCCTGCAGTTACAATATACCTTTCAAATTACTAAGTAACTTACTCAATAAGTAATATTACTACATCTATGCTATTTTAAATAATAAAGTGTGCCGGTATGTTAGCTTTCCTCTAATAAACGGCTGAACAGGTTTAAATAAAATTTGACGAGATATAGTTTGTATCACTACGAAGGACATGTAGTGATCTCAAAAATATTCTACATTCTTAAGCCACACAAAAATGTAATATTATTGTGCTGATGCTAATAATATAAAGGTTCTATAAAAATAGTTCTAGTATATTTGTTTGCTCCTAGCCACTACCACAAGTACCACATGGTATAAAGTTCATTCCTGTTTTAGATAAATTACTTTTTTTCGTTTCATAATTTATTAGAAGCCGGTAATAATAGCAAAAATCTGTTTTTAATTGCATTTATTAGTGTTTGTAAACAAAATATGCTTATGAATATTTCTTGAGAGTAAGTTTAGGTACAATATTCATAGAGGCGAGTTCTTGGAACAGCAGCTTGCAGGCATAAGGCATATCGACAGTGGATACGGCGGCTGATGAACGACAGGCATGGCACCAAGCTCGACTAGCAAGACGCCCACACGCGCCGCAGATGTCTGCACTGAATGCATCCGACGCAAGCATCAGGCGTTCCATTAATAGCATGCTGAAATGTTGGCAGAATGGTAAAACTACAGGAGAAAATAACAAACAATATAGATAATTACTGTTGCAGAAAATTACTATGCATAATCATAAAAAAACTGTATGCACGAAATCGGTGGGTATTTTTATGGTGCACCTGCCTCTGCTTAAGGTATACGCTGGCAGAGCATCAGTTGAGGAAGATAGTGTAAGCATGAAATCAGGGCAGTTAGCTTACCGTGGCGAATTAACTACAATGGTATTACTACTCCCTATTACTAACAATCCTCTCTCCTCATACATTACAGCTTTGACTAGCTAGCTTAAAGCATGCTATCGGAGATAATATTACATTTTATTGTGTGTATATAATATTAGTACGTTGTTAATTTAATAAGTATAATACCTAGCACCGTATCCGATAAGGCAGTCTCGCTCCATTTCGCCGAGTCTGAGACCACCGTCTCGGGAGCGACCCTCGGTGGGCTGGCGAGTCAGAACCGCGCGAGGGCCGCGGGCGCGCGCGTGCATCTTATCCTGTACCATATGTTTCAGTTTCTGATAGTACACCTGAAAGATTTTTTTCACAATATATCTATAAGCATTTAGATTATACGTACAGATTTTATTGTCAGGATGAAGCAAACACTACGCGACTTAGCTACGGAAATACTCACGGGCCCTGAATATATATACGCCTCCAAAAGTTCTCCTGTTAAGCCAGAATAAAAAATATCTTTCCCGTGGTAATTGTACCCATGCTTTTCCAATTCATTGCATACATCTACCACTTTTGAACCGCCGAATGCAGTGCCTGAAATTAAATGAAAGTCTTACTTATGGTCAAAAGTGTAAAACAAAATAATTTTTCTAATGCTTATTAGTCTTTTCTAGTTTTACTCACCATAATGAAATTTTCCTTCCATTAAACCTGCTTTTCCCGCAAGTAGTTCTATAGTTTTACCGACTGTCATTCTAGAAGGAAAACCGTGAGGATTCATAATCATGTCAGGGCAAATACCTCTATCATTGAATGGCATATCTTCTTGCTGCACTATAAGTCCGGTGACACCTTTCTGACCATGCCGAGAACTAAACTTATCTCCGATCTCTGGAACTCGTGTTTGTCGTAATAGTATTTTAATGAGTAATGCATCTTCAGAGTTAGAAGAAACCATTACTTTTTCTATATATGATTCCACAGGGCCTTTATAAGTTATTGGTGCTTCTTTGTATTCAACTTGTTGAGGTTGACCTTGAGACACAGGGTTTGATGAAGCTATAGGCATTTGCTTATTAATTAGAACTTGTCGATTTTCAACCATTTCGCCCGGTGCAGCTATACCATCAGAATCTAAGAGATCATGTGCTCTAATCACTTTCCCGGTGTTAGCATCCCTTGATGGACCCCATATTCTGTCTGAAGTCTGGTTGCTGTACCTTTTCATAGTTGTTTTGGCACTTTTGTACACGAGACATCTACCATAACCACGGTCTATGGATGCTCGATTAAGGATCAATGCATCCTCAATGTCATATCCACTATAACTCATTACTGCTACAGTAGCATTCTGACCGGCGGGTAGTTTGTCAAAGTTTGTTAACTCAATTGTTCTTGTTTTAACCATAGGACATTGTGGATACACTAAGTTATACATTAGCGTATCTATTCTATTTTTTTGATTGTATCCAATGGTCCCTGGAAAAATTTACTATGTACTTTGATGTATTTATATTATTTACTAGGATAATATAGACAAGTAGAGAATTAGAAAATTTTACAGTACAATTAAGCGACTTTATAAATATGTTAGATTTGAGAAAGTATAGCTTACTATGTAATTTAAAAAAAACCTCGAATATATTTTTTAAAATCATAATATATTAACTTACCCATAGCTTGTTTTCCCATAGCACACTGGTAAGTATTCCTAGGGCTTTGGTTGTGATGGGGGTAAGGTACGAGCCCTGCGCACACGCCTAAAATTGTAAAAGGTTCTATTTCAAGATGCGTTGTTACATACGGATCAATCTCCGCTTCAACTGTCGCAATGTGACTATCATTTTCTTCATTTACATCTAAATATTCAATTAGTCCATCAGTTAGAAAATCTTGAAATTTTCTTATGCCCCTATTTAATTCATTTATATGAATTTGTAGTACTAATGGTAATCCTTTTTCCACAATGATGTACGGCCTGCAGAGCCTTCCGCCATCACTGCATATATAGACCGTTCGTTGGTTATGATTGGGATATATTGATACAAAGGAAGACACGAGTCCGCGTCTTCTAAACATTCTGAATACCCTTATCAATCTTTTATATTGTCTTGTAACACCTAAAATGTTACCTGTAAAAAAGTATAAACAATATTATTGCTCTGAGGGATACTTCAAATAAGATAATTTAAATTTGATTTAATTATGAGATACAAACACGAATATAGTGATGCTCGAGAGTTCAAGTGAAAGACTATGAATATTTTATGTATCATAAGCATGTACATTTAAATTTAGTTACCATGATAAAATAATAATTACCATTAAGAAACACTATATACACAGCCGGATGATTGATTTCTTCACCTCCAAGAAGCTTTATATCTTCCACACCAGCATTACACGCCAACCTAGCTATAGGTTCTTCAGAGCACTCAGTTGTAATGTGTGTCATTAATGCTAAATTTTTAACAAGACCGCATCCTTCTCCTTCGGGAGTGTCGGAAGGGCACAACATTCCCCATTGAGAGGGCTGTAACGAGCGTGGACCAGACACTTTCCTAGTTTTTTCAAATTGTGAATTGACCCTAGTCATCATACCTAATGCTGAAATATAGCTAAGACGACTAAGGACTTGAGTTACACCATGCCTTTCCATTTTAAAGCGCTTGATAGTCCAATTACCCTGTAAATTTGATAAGTTACATTTTATCTAGAAAGTGCACATAAAAGTAAATACATTCTGATTTAATTCCATTGCAACTCATAATGATTGCTATTACTATAAAAAATATACAGTAATGATTAACACAAAATTATTATCTACATGCTTACTGTAGAAATTGCTGCAAATAAACCATTTGTAATCAAATCGGGTCTCATATGTTTTACAACATCAAATGGTGCTGCCTTTACTTTAGGAATGATTTTTTCGGCAATAGATTTCAGTTCCCAATTAAACCTTTTAAACAAATCTTCAAACATTAGAGAGAGCAATGAACCAGCAAGCTCAAGTCTCTTGTTTCCATAATAATCAGGATCATCAATGGCTGATTTATTTGACTCTGCTTCTATTACTCTCTTCACCATTATAGCTAAGTATATAGCTTTTACGTAAAAATTATAGTTTTCAACTGTGACATGCGCCAAAATAGTGGTAGCTAAAAGATCTCTGGCTTCGTCTACAGGGGTGCGGCTTTTTGAGTTCACTGTCTGAAACCTATAGATAATTATGTTTTCGAATATATAATAATTATAACAAAAAGGTGATATTTTTGTATAAAAGAAAATTTGTGTACCTTTTTACTTTGAGTTTGCTACCAATATAAGCAAGGGCTTGACTCTGTGTGAATATTTTTAAATTATGACAGTCCATGATACATGGACCCATTTTTTTTACTGTATTGTCATCAGTTCCAATCAGTTGCATAACCTCTTGGTCACTGCAGATACCCATCGCTTTGAATGCAATTGCTATTGGTATGTCCTACAAAATTAAAAATTAAAATATAAGATTTTATTACAACAATGAGTAATAGAAAATCTCTGAGGTTATTCTATACATTTGTAAATCGATTTATGTTTTGTTTGTAATAACTTTGTCAACACAAATTGTGCTAACATTATTCTAACGATATTCAATATTGTTGATCGTCACCGTAATAAAATTATGTTGTTTCCAAGACGCGTGTCTATATAATTAAAAAATAATTATTATATAAGAACTATTTTATTATATATCTTTTTATATGCGAATATTATGAAGAGGTAAGAGAGTTTGTAAGGTTGTAGAGAGTTAGTGCTCCTCCCTTTATCTCCCATTGGGACCGGGGTGCTTGCCTTGAGGAAGGGAACGCCCTAATCTAATGTCCCCATAGGTGTGCGCGTGTACTCACATGCCTCCACAATGGAGTAGGGCAAAATAGGTCGCCCTAACTACATGGAGAAGGAGCCTGCCTGCCTGTAGGTGTTGTAACCTACAGGGCAGACCATCGTCGTTGGAGTCGAGGTAGAATGCGCATGCGAAACCCCGAATGGGCAAAGGCGTTTGCAGGTACACTGTGCGGTTTTTTAGTGGGTAGAAATCCCACCCCGTCATCCATCTGGCGGGGCGATTTTGCAAGAATTTTACATACTATAAAAAAAGGGGGTTAATCTCTGGATCTACGGAACCAATTTAGAAAATTCTTTTACCCATAGAAAGTCACATTATTTGTGAATGTCATAGGTCGCAATGAAAAATGTAGCTGAAACGGAAAAAGTGACTACGCAGGCGAAGTTGAGCTGGTGATTTAGTGGATAGAGATAGTGGGAAAGTGCCGGTGACATGAATATCTTTAACTATTATTTAAAACAGCAACACGCTAGTTTCTTGCTCGATCTTCTTGTGATAAGAGAGCTTTTAAAATATAAGTATAACTATAACCTAATTTTAATAGCCCTATAGACTTCGCCACTGAGATTTGGCATGTTATAATGTTGTGAAAATTTCTTTACTAGTTTTATTTGACTCATTTGACAAAGATTTTGTGATTACCATTCAATCATAATTTCTTTAAGTGTAGTATTAAATTTAAAGAACGTCACAGAAGCCAATGTAACAACCCAACTAAACATTTCATTTCATTTTAAATGAATGGATATTTCATTTCATATACCTATAAAATACTGTTTATTAATTCATAAAATTAAAAGCAAATTAACTGAAACCTTAAAAACTTACATCAGAGAGAGCATTATGACGTAGAACATATTTTCCATTTTTGACTATAACATTTGTTCTAGTTTTCTTCTCGTGGGTAGAACTAGTGACTTGACACTGGATGGAGCCCTTAAATTCATCAACAATCATACGATTTCTGGATAATTGTTCCTGAATTAAAATTACTTTTTCTTGTCCTGTGAAAACATTGTGAATAAAATATTATATAAATTAAAAGAGAGCACTTAATATAATAATAACTGTGTTATACCCAATATTTTGTTCATAGTACGATTAGTAGTAGATTTTTCACAGCAATATAATTAATTCTAAAATTTAATATTTCAAATACATATTTATAAATCAAAGAAATGACAGAGATAGTATTGTAACATATAAATAAAAAAAAATACCTCTAATAATGAAGTAACCACCAGGGTCATGGGGACACTCATTTAACTGTGCCAATTCAAAATCACCTTTATTCGTTAGTACACAATTTGATGATCTTAACATCAGAGGCATCCTGAGACAAAATATATTTATATAAGTATTAACCATTCTCAAAAGAATGGTTACAGTTCCAATGGTTTCTCTGGGCTCAATTCCTATACAAGCATTATTTATTAATAAAAATATATCAGATTCAGTTAGGTGCTTATATTATTTATGATGTATGTTATAAATTTAAATGTATCTATCAATTATGTGGTAATCAATTTATGGTACCCATAGTAAAAGAAAAGTTCCACTTGGCTTGAGAATAAATAACATTTGTATTTTTAAGCAACTGGAATGTGAAAAAGCCCAAATACATGAACAACATTACTGACATCACATCTAGATGTGACATCCAATACATCTCTATTTTTAAATCATGATATTATATTTCTTTAATTCATATGTTATTTTTATTCTTTATTTCATATTCTTCTGTATTTCATATTTTACACTAAAGTAATTGAAGAGCCACATACCGTCCAATCAATTGTTTATTTTTTATTACACGTTGATTACCTCTGATATACTCTATATCAACAGTAATAGGAGCTGAATAAGTCATATCTCTTAGCCGACATTCATGGGGCGTAGTTGGTTTTGTTACATTAAAACCTTCTTCAAGATCTGGCTTACCAACATATGCATTCAGATATTTAATGTAAAATAATGGGTCTGCATCACAAAACACTTTTTCATTGGCCTGCACAATTTTTTTTATTTCCACATTTATGAAATAATTGAATGAGTCAATATGTTGTTTCACTAATCCTTTTACTTGCAAAAATGATGGAACAAGTTTCCATTTGTCCTGAAAAAGAAATAAATACAAAGAGAATTTTTATGCCTCTCTTAACGAAATTTTCTTTACATACTCTTTAGACATGAACATAACAATAATTACATTAATTTTTTAGGTGAAATACCTCTTAAATTAAAGTCTGTTTCAGCAATAAGCTAGGATATATATTAGTATTATATTTTCTATGGGTAATAAAAATTTGAAAGGATATGTTCAAATACAAATGAGTATCTTTTAAGTTTTTTTCTTATGGATAATCATGGAATCATTATTGTAACCTCCTGAGCTGGAGTGGAGGATGATAAGAAGAGCATGAAGTACAAATATTTTTAGTATTCAGTATGATTAGGCTAAAAATGTGTAAAACCAAACAGTTATTACAAATTATAAATAAACAGTGGTTATTTCATAAATACATACAGTAGTATTTTTTTTAATGTACTTTACAATATGGTGACAAAAAGAAAGTATTAACAATTATTAGTTGATTAATAAAATAAATAATTACTGATGTTATGTGAATGCCCACTTTCCACTATATGAATATTCAGTTAATCCTAAATAATTATTCTTAAATTAATTTGTTTTCATATAACTCACAACAGTCCAAGGTGATACTGGTGTGAAGTATATAAATTTCGTATTAATGTTATGAAAAACATTAATACTAAATTTTAAGACTAAGTATCATTTAGAAACAGTCAATGTGTTTTATGAGAATAGATATAAAATTTTACAGTGAGATAGATATGGATATTCTGGAATTACCTATAAATAAATTTAAAACATCTATTAGACTATTATTTACTACCTAATAAATATTAATAATTAATATAATAAGGCAACAATTGATCATGCATTGTTTTTCATTTATAATTTTTAAAAAATCAGTCAATGTTTTTTGCCAGTTGTTCTTATTGCAACATGTAAACTGAACTAGATAATGAATAAATGTTAATAAAAAATATTGAATTTTTAATTTATAAAAATGTCAAGATTACATATCTAGCACACTAACTATGCCATTAGTTTAGAAACTGTGTTGACGACTTCAGTAGTCTAGCGGTTTAGCACCCTACCTTACTTCCGAAGATACACTTATTTGTTTAAGCATGATTGGTTGGACTAGTATGGGTGTATTTTATGTATTACAAAATGTAGAGTTTATATTAATAATTAGAGTGGGTAGTTATGGGTACAAAACCCATAATACAAGTTTCTTTTAATTTATGTCCAGGCATAGGCGTGCGATTATCTGGTTATTTCATAAAAAATACTTAGGGCCCTAACCACAACATTATTTGTTTACTAACCTCTATATTCTTTATAGGCTCTCGTAAGCCCTTATTAGAATCCCAATCCGTATTTTTTTTTATTAACTCGCCCATGGTTCTAAAATAGAAAGAACTAGTTACAAAGGATCAGAAAATTAAAAATTGTTACTTCATTTTATTCGGTGTTAATAGGTTAGGTTTTGAAAAAATAAATAGAATTACTGACTGACATTGACAAACGTAAGTCAACAAATCAATGTACTTTGTGACATGTTTCAAAAATAAAAAAAACCACAGATCAAGATTTGTAACTTCTGAAGACAATTATTAGAAAAAAAATAATATAAGAAAATATTACTGAAAACAATGGCTGTATGGGCTGAGTCCTTTTACCTTTCCCTAAAAAGGGGAAAACCGAACCAAAAAAAAAACGATCAGTCCGAAATATTAGTATTAGCACAGATAACATAATATTACATACAGATACCCCATCCCATACAAGAAAATGGTTCCTTCCTAACTCGGGCTATTTTATTTCGCCACCGTAGCCGCTAGATGACGTTGAAGCAGTTCGGATTACTAGTGGCTGCTTAGTAACAAAGCATGAAAATAGATGGCAGTCAATTCAGTCTACATGACATCTGTTTTGCAAAGATATGTATATAATAGATATGTAGGTAACTGTATCGTGTACCTCATTAGGGACGATTCAAGATTCAATGTAAATGTGTAGGTATAATATCGTTAGCCGACACTCTGCAGATATGGCTTATGTGCCAATGTATATACCTATTGTGTTATGGTTTATTTTACATTCCATGCCTATTTTTTTGATATGTTGTAACGCGTCTGCGCTATACGTATAGCCTGATTTTGATACGTTTATACTCGTACGTATCAAAATCGGGCTATACGATTTTTTATTTCAATCGTTATATGTATGAGACTGATTTTAGTTACAATTAATTTACTGGTATATACCTCATGTATTCTACGATGTACCCCTCTCTTTTACCTAATGAGAATTCCGCTATATCTTATATATAAATTTTGTATCACAGTGTTAGTTGCCATATTTCTCCCACATTTTGATGAAATATGATATGTATACTTGCCAGGTCTGAGGTAGGGTTGTTATCTATTTTTTATACCCCTAAGTCATAGGGGTGGCCTACCCCGAAAAAATATTTTTTTATATTATGGACAATTTTTTATTTATTTATAATGTTACATTGAAAATACACACACGCCTAAATTTTCACCCGTCTTTCACCAACCCCTATTTTTAATAGCGATATTATTACAAATATTATAAATGCTAAAGTAACTCAGTCTGTCTGTTTGTCTCGCTTTCACGCCAAAACTACTGAACTGATTTAATTGAAATTTGGTAGACAGATAATGTAGACCCTGAGAAAGGCTACTTTTTAATGCGAAAAAGTATTGAAAGGGGAAATGAAAGGCTATATGAGGATATCGTAATTTTTAAAGTCAGATCTTGTAATATTAAGTGAACAGGGTCGGTCTAAGTTTTTCATTATTAGAAATGTGTAACGGGGTAACACGTTATTTAGTGCGAAATTTGTATATTACAATAAAATTTAACTAGAAAATATTATAATGATGTCACTGGGACACTCATTGCCTTAATACTGTATCGTCCGTTAGTCGCGAACTTTCTGGAAACACGAGAGGCGCGCTCCTATTGGTCGGTCGGCGCGGTTACCGCGCGTAGATGAGTAGATGAGGTAGACGAGTCTCACGGCGCCGCAGCGTAAGTACTTACTATACATATAGGTGTTACAAATGTTTTTATTACGAGTAATATTACTCTGTTATCTAAGCAAGTAATGTGTGCTTATTTTGAACTTGATAACATTCTGAATTACTCGTATATCTTTTAATATCTTTAGCGGTATAAACCAGGTTATGTACTACTACTAGTATTGTTAGTGAGGGATAAAGTTGATGAACAAAAATAAAACAATATTCGTATTAAAAATATATTCATCTAATATTTTTGGCATTATTTTTAAGTTTCTTCCAAATACAAGGGGTCTGACATGTGGTGTTATGTACCTACATTAAAAGATAATTTTTGAAATGTATGAAATTTTTGGAATGTATGAAATGTATGTACCCACATTAAGAGATAATTTTTGACATGTATGAAATGTATGAAATAAATGTATGTACCTACATTAAAATATAATTTTTGAAATGTATGAAAGTAATGTATATACCTATATTAAAAGATAATTTTTGACATGTATGAAATGTATGTACCTACATAAAAAGTTCATTTTTGAAATGTATGAAAGTAATGTATGTACCTACATTAAAAGATAATTTTTGATGTATGTATGTAAATGTATTTTTGAAATGTATGAAATGTATGAAAGAAATGTATGTACCTACATTAAAATATAATTTTTGAAATGTATGAGATGTATGAAAGAAATGTATGTACCTACATTAAAATATAATTTTTGAAATGTATGCACCGTACAATAACAATACTAGGGAATGCAATCCCGACTCGAGATTGCAAATTCGGGATCCCGCGGGATCCCGGGATCCCGTCTAAATTTAAAAAAAATGTTGAATTCAGATGACTGAAAAAGCTAATAACTGCTTGTTTGTGATAGTGAGGTTAACTAAAATAACATATTACTCGAAAGAAAATAAAAACCTTTATTCTTTAATCTTACCAACTAAATAATAATCAGGTTGCAAGGAAATTAACGTAGGTAAATTAAGTAATCAAAACAATAAGCTTATTTCAAGGGAATTAGGAAAAAGAGTGATTTTGAAAATGACTCCTTAAAAAACAAAGGGTATTAATAGTTTCATCTGCTAAACGGCATCTAATGTCCGTTGCAATGTACCCCGCTGCTGAGAATGCCCTCTCCGACTCAACGCTGGTTGGCAACAGCGTGGCGAAGCAATTATATGCAAACTGCAAAAATCGCCCCCTTGTTCCTCCACACTCAAACAAATCCATTTCTTTTTTAATGGTAGATTCTAATTTGTCTAAGCTCGTGGACGTGGATATACGTGCAAAAGGACTTTTAGAAGCTCGCAGAGTTTCTTCTAATTCCTCTTGAAGCGATTTATTAGTTTGTGCAGCACGTAAATTCAAATCTTCTGCAATCATTGAAAGAGGCAAGTCATCTTCGATTAGTACTGCCGTATTAATATCTGCTTGGTTTGGTTCTTTACGATATAATCGTGTGATTATATTTTTTATTTCTTTTTCACTGCCGCCCAATCCCGTCAATCTCGAACGGGATCTCGTCATATGATGCGTCGGGATTGATCTCGAAAAATTACACGAGATCTCGCGAGATCGGGATCCCGCGGGTTCGGGATTGCATTCCCTAAAGAATACACGTTAAACATCATACCACAGAGTCATACGCAAGTTAAAAACAAACTGCTATGATATTAATGAGAAAGGAAAATCAACTTTATGGTATTCGAGTTAGGGTCGATTTCTCTCTTTTATTTAAATACTATTTTAATCTTACCAGTTGCCAGTATTCGAAGACAGCTACGATTCGTACTCGATATTTTAAATTATTATGTAATCGATTTTTTAGTACAAATGTAAATAACCAACGACACTAATAATGTACTACTATATTCCGTTCTTTGAAACGGAACACTGCTATAATACAAAATAATGAAAATTTACTGTTCACAACGACTCATTAAAAGCATCATCGAATAATGCGCTGTAATAAAATCCTGTTATCGATTATTCAAAAAAATCGATAATACATGTATTTATTTTTAATATGACAACACTTCATACATAAGTATTATTGGAAATAGTATTACTGACTTGTTCGGCTATTTTTTGGCATTTACTTAAAAAAAAATTATATGTTTAATTTACAATAATAATATATTAAGTGCTTATTATTGGAAAATATAAAAAAGACATTTAATTAGGCCGATACAAATGACGACAATGCCATCTATGAAAGCATTTTGAAAACATTGAGCCCCATATTAGCACTGATTAAAGTGTAATTAAGTACTGGAAAATAACAAAATGAGTAAATATATGAAAATTACTTTTCTAAACGCATTATTTCATTTTAACATGTATATATAACTTTTTAAAAATTGATTAAACATTTTTGAGAACACAGTTTTGTTTTTTAAAACGTTTGCAAAACTATGAAGAATTCCATCGATACCAATCACGCCATCTATATGCAACTTTTAGCAATAATAATGGCTACTTCCTCATTGAGTGCCACTGGTATTAGTATTATTTTAGTAGTGCTTTATTCATGACCTTCAAGGAATAAATTATTATATGAGCTTAGTACAGTTTTACAATTTTAGTAATAATTCATTAGTATTAAATTTTTTCCACAGTATGTACAATGTAGATATATATCCCATCAATAACATAAATGTGAAATGATAGCCGAGTTTAATATTATCACAGATAACATAATATTATATTATGATATACGCCTTGATTGTTGACTTCTACGACAAAAGAGGTGAGATCTAAATGGGTGCCAAGTTCAATGGTCTGTCCTGAAATGTATTTATAACAATATAAAATATCATTTCTTCTTATAACTAAGGATAATATACTGTAGGTCTGACTTGGCCAGTTCTCATATACCAATTATTACTTTCGATTGCTAGTTACTACTAATAATAAAATAGGAACCGACAAGTTTAGAACTTGCGTAGGTTACAGTATATTTCGTATATGAAAACTAGCCAAGTTAGAACTTAGGCTACAGTATATTATCCTAAGTTACAAGAAGAAATGATATTTTATATTGTTATAAATACATTTCAGGACAGACCATTGAACTTGGCACCCATTTAGATCTCACCTCTTTTGTCGTAGAAGTCAACAATCAAGGCATATATCATAATATTAAACTCGGCTATCATTTCACATTTATGTTTTTGATGGGATATCATTACTTTTTGTACATAAATTATACGAGGTACTTATTTATAACTAAATTAATACCAAATTATTTTTGTAAAACTACTGTATTTTCGTATGTTTACGGGGTATAATTGTCTTTTTTTGTGTTATTTTCTATATTTTCTTGTTACTTTTAAAACATTTAAAAAAGAGTATCGATGTGCGCTAAATATTGAAACAATAATTAATACCAAATCTCAGTTAATAACATAATAAATAAATAATAATTCGACTATACTCTGTCATAAGTACGAGTATATTTTAGACAGAACCTGAATTAACTGCAACTAGTGTTTACCGCTCAATGCAATAGCCCAAGAGCCCACGACTGC